TATACAATGATAATTTAATGGTATAAGTGTAAAGTCTAGTACAAGGTCACTGTTATTTTTTTCTTCCTTTTATATTAGCAAAATATTATCCCTGTGGTGATACCTGATATAAACTGGGTGCTTTAGACTTGTGATGTAGCTTAAATTGTAAAACAGAGGAGTTATCTTATTTCTATTGTTTTTGGTTTTGTTTGGTTACTTGTTTTATTTCTTTGTTGTTGTTTTTTGGGGTTTTTTTGGGTTAGTTTCTTTCAGATTAGTTCTTTAGAGGAAAGTAGGTTCAGTGTATGATCAAGATATAAATCTTGAAACCTCCTTTCTTGTTACTCTAAAACTCAGATTACTTTGCTGCTTCCTCCCCCTGGCTCATGTACATTGGAATGATCATCTGAACACTCATAATATAGCTCCAAGCATGCAGGAGTTGCCATGCCAGATCAATCTTGGTTCATCTAAACATGAACATGGCAATAATCATGAGTTCTTATAGAACTCCCAGCATGTAGGAGTTGCTGTGTGAGTTAAATATAAATTATCAATGCTGGTAATTTTGTTACCCTTTTTAGTCCAGGTTCAGCAGTGAGCTCTGGCAGTATTTTTCATCACAGGAGAATCTAGCTCCTTGGGAAGACTACGAAACTGAGGTTATGGATTGTAAAAACAGATTAATTTGCTGTGGTTTTTCAGAAATGTGCAGAAATTGCATTATGCCAATCCAAGTTAGGTTTTCTTTTTTAAATCTTGTCTTTGGGACCTTTCATCTATATATAAATACAAAACTGTTTTCTCTTAGTGAATAAACATCAGCATCAATTTTCTCACCAATGTGGTATTCTCTCCTGCTTACTGATGCAGAGCATCTCCAGACTATTAGGAACTCATTATCTACTCCGTTAGGTGCATAGGCATGTTTCTTGTAGCACTGATCTACAAGTAATGTAAATGGCATTTGGTGGCTGCTTTAGCTTTTACTTGTTGCATTCAGAACCATTAATTTATTTCAGATTGAATTAAAGACAGTATATTTTTTGATTCTCCTTGGTTATTTTGTGGTCTTTTTAGAAAGGGTTTGATTGATGATCTTGTGGAATAGCCAAGAGTAACCAAACTGTCTGTTATTATTTTATTGAATCTGTCATTGGGCTATATAGGCAAGGATTTTATTTACAATTTTTATTTATAACATTTATTGAGGAAAATAGAAATTCAGCTTTTTTTTATTTTTTCAAATTTGTTGCTAAGAATTTTAGTGGTATAAAAATATTCTGTACTATCATTGAAGTCAGAATTTTACTACATGGAAATATTATTTTTATCAATTAATTTTGCTAGTTTTACTTACAAAAAGACTATCTGAATTTGTTGGATGAATATTTCTATGAATTTTTGCATGAATCATAGAATCATTTTGATTCAAAATACCTTTAAGATCATGGAGTCCAATCAATATCCTTACCCTGCCAAGGGCATCACTAAACCACGTCCCCAAGTGCCACATCTACGTGTCTTTTGAACACCTCCAAGCCTATATCCTCTTCCCACACATGAAGTGACTCAGGTATTCTGTGCCAAATAACAGCCCATCCTTATGCTGAATCCCATGTGAGATTCCATTCCACGACCATTCTTTTTCTGGGATATCTTCAAATTGTGTGGGTTCCTGGCTGGTATTTCAATGTACTAATTCCAGACTCCTGGACATTTTTCTCATCTGTAAGTTAATAAAATAACCTGAATCAATATCCAAAGAACACCTCCTGACCTGAAACAAAGTTCACCTGTTAATCAAAGTATTCTGAACTTCCTTGACTGCACAACTTGTCTTCCCTCAGAGAGGCATACTGTTTCCTGGTTTTAATTAATTTAAATTTGGTTATAATATGTTTTAGTTATGTAAAACAGGAAGGATAATAACGTATAAAAGTACAGTTGGAGAGACAAAATTTTTAAAGTTAGTATTAATTATTAATCTATAATGGAATTCATATATTGTCTCTTGTCATCAAAGGAGTGAATTGTATTCCATTTAATGTTAGGGTCAAGGCTGTAACTAGATTTAAGGTGGAGCTTGATTAGTTTAGTTAATAAATAGGATTGTACAGCATTGTCTTTTGTATTACATAGGATTAGATTTGTGACTTAAGAATGATATGGCCTACCCAAAATGTATACATCACAGACAGTAAAATCTGTTTATTTTCCAAGACTACTTAATGCTGTGTTTATAAATCTATTAAGCTCCTCTCTGCCTAATTGAGATATTTAACTTAAGTCACCCACACATGCTTAGAAGTGCTTAATTTGTCTAGGTATGTGGGTAGCCTCCTAAATTCTCTATTATTCCCAAAGGAAGCTTGAAAAGACGGGCTTTGGGATTAGATCTATGACCAGTTTCATCTCTTCTGAGAGTGATCATTACTGTCTCTGACTTAAAACATTTGGTTGGTTATGCTGTATTAGAGTACTGAAAAATATGGGTACAGCACTCAAGATAGGTGATTTAAACCCATGTCTTCCCATTTCTAGGGGAGAAAGAGCTAAGTAATAGAGGAAAAATGGAAAAGTACCTTTCAAGTGACCAGGACATTCAACTGTAAGGACACATATCTAATATTCAATAATTCTGAAACTGGTTTTATCTAATGGCTATATATATAATGGTTTTACCCAATGACTATATATATGTATATACACACACACACACATATATATGTGTGTGTGTATGTGTGTGTGTGTGTATGTATATATATATTTTAAGTGCAGAATTATTTTCTGGGATTAATCTCTGGGAACTAAATTCTGCCACTTGCAGCTAATATCCCAGTTTCTGCATAAGATTTGACTTCCTTGTTTGCTTACTTGGTTTCAAGTGACTTCACACAGAAGTGTTCTGTGGCTTAATGCTTTTAATTACTGCAGTAAGGGAGGCATGAATTCATTCCTCTTAATCTTGTGTCCCTCCTTTAATCAGTCTTTCCATTTCTTGAGGGAGTTCTTCAAACATCAGGCTGTTGTTCAGGAAGCAAGAATCATCCGACCTTTGGTGCCTGTGCTTCAAAGAGGGTAGATAGGGTTAACCTGATGCCCATTGAGGCCGTTTTGATTTCCTGCTTCTTCCATATTACAAAAAGCGAAAAAAGTGAGTGAAATGGTTGGCTCTTTTTAGGCACTTGTGGTTTCTGGGCATTCTGTGGAAACTCCAGCATTGAGCTGGCTATGATGATTTCCAGCTGCTGTCGTCAGAGCAGTTGGAAGCTGAAGCAACTGTTGGTGCCTTCACAGACATGTCCATTTCCTATCTTTTCCTATGCTTGAAACCAGTATTTTGATGACGCCAGTATTTGATAAGTAGTATTTTATACAGTTCTGGTCTAATACTGTGTCCTAAATTCTCTGAATTTTTACAGTTAGCATGTCTTAATTGCAAAAGGAATTACTAAAATTATTGAGTTCTTACATTATCTACCTTTGAGGCATCTTTATTACTTCATAATTATATGTACTAGTTCAAAATCTAACAATTCTAAGCTATCTTTTCAGAGCTCCCTGTAGAGACAGCTAAAGATAATCTCATTTTACATCCCTATTCTTTCACTATCTACTTCTGCTAAATATTTGTTAAGAGAGAAAGAGCTAACTTTATTAACTCCCTTACTAGATCTGCCCTTCCTCGTGGCTGGCTGGGCTAATCTTTTTGCTGTATTGTATCAAGAGTTAACAGATTTACCTTCTTTTCCTCTATGTGGTCTCTTGACTCCCTTGGAGGAGCCAACGGGGATCTGTGTTAAGTCAGTGTTTCCCCTGTGATAGTAGGTGTTATGATTGTCACATGTAATGGGCCTGAGGATGTTTTCCCTCCAGACTGAGAACACCTTCTTTTCCTTAGTAAATATGTACCTGCAGGTTTTTTGCTCATAGTGACGTAATCCTGTTGATGCCATAGACCATGAAGGTGGACCTTTACTGTCTCTATTAAGAAGTTCTGATGTAAGGTGAGTGCACAATTGAACACACTCTTCTGACCCAGTGAAGTTCCCTTGAAAAGCTTCCAAATGGGCCTAATTTCTCTCTGCTTGAAACTGAGATGCCATCTCCAGTTTGCAGACTGTAGTTTCCATTTGCATGGATTTTGTATTTCCAAGCCCAAATCATAAAGTACAAAGATGTCTGTATTTCAAAATGTTCTTCTTTCATGTTTGTGCCTTCAGTTATTTAAGCTAGCTTTAAATAATGATTGTTTGATGCATAGCACAAAACCAACTTAAAATTTTAAAAAATCAAGTTTCCAAACTTGGAGTCAAGAAAAGGAGGTGAATGCAGTCATTCTTTTTCTGTTTTTCTGATTCCTGTTTCATCTCAATATTTTTAAATTACTGTCAAATTTAAGAGAAAGGCCATAGGAATCAGATATTTGAAACGTTGTTGAGCTCCTGTACATATTGTTAAAATGTATGTCTTTGCAAATGTTATGGGCAATGGAAAGGTAACAGTGTTAGTTTACATGTAAATAGCTAAAGGAAACCAGAGAGGGAAGGCATTCTACAGATATCCCAATTATGGGAACAGCTTTAGTTAAAGCTCACAATCAACCATGACACAAATGCCTTGAGAGGACTACCTTTAATTAGTTGTAATCTTCACCAAAAAAATTAGTTTTCTCACCAATATTTATTCATTTCATAGCAAGAATATTTCTCAGACTCAGGCATGGACAGTGAATATATATGCTGGCTATAATTAACTTGAGCATTTAATTTAGGGGAAAATACTTATGTAAATATGAGGACTTTAAATGCTTCTTACAGAATTAGAAAGAAATCTAATTTTGTCTGGTAAATTAGTTTTTCCTTATGAGATATTTTAAGGTGTTTAAATTTTGGCTTGCAGAAACAATGGAATATTAAAATTTATTTATTAAAATACAGCACATTTAAAAACCTTCATGCATGTAATCCCTATTTGCTATATAAATTTGCTGACTGTATACTGATTTTTTTACATAATATTTCATCGGTGTTATGACAGAAAGGAAAATAGCTCACATTTCTTCTTAATAAATATTCACATTACTAGTTTCCTTGATTTTGTGTAAAAATGTATTTATCCACTGGAAGTCATATAAATCAGGCTAATAGGAAAAACTTCCCATTGCAAGATCTAAATGTCATCCTGTAAAGAATCTCATTTCATTCCAGAATAGCTACTTAAAGGACCAGGAGTTCGAGAGTCTGGAACTCAGACCTGGAAAGGACATCCAAACAAGAAACTAAATTCAGTGAAGAAAGAATTTGCAAGATTGAATTTATGCAGTTGCAAATTTAGAGTAAGCAATAGCAACAAATGATGTCATAATTAAAAGTATTCACAGAACATAAGATGATTTGTACTGGAGAAGAGCTCTAAAGATAACCTAGTTTCAGACCTTCTCCTAGGCCATGTTTCTTTGAGCCACATCCAGCTTGCTCTTGAACACTTACAGGGATAGGGCATCCACAGCTTCTCTGGGCAACCTGTCCCTGTGCCTCACCACCCTCACAGTGAAGAATTTCTTCCTAATGTCTAATCTAAACATTAAATATCTATTTAATTATAACTCTTTCAATTTAAAGCCATCCTCCCTTCTTCTATCACTACGTGCCCTTGTAAAAACTCCCTCTCCAGCTCTCTTGTAGCCACCTTTAGGTACTGGAAGGTGTTGTAGGATCTCCGTGGAGCTCTCTCTACAGAGTGAGCAACCCAACTCTCAGTCTGTCTCCACAGGAGAGGTGCTCCAGCCCTGTGATCCACCTCGTGGTCCTCATCTGGACCCTTCATTTTTATTTTTTTCTGCTAAGTAAGAACAGAAATTTATAACTTAGTAGAATTGATAGCACGGAAAGTGTGTGGCATCTCTAAATACCTAGATGTTACAAACAATGAGAAATAATAATTAAAGTATGTAATCTGAAAGTATAGGGAAACAAAGCTCAGAGGAAAGAGGGGGAATGGACACATTTTCATATGTGTGGTGTGTAGCTGGTTGTAAGAGGTTACCCAAGAAATTGCTGGAAATACCTTATTTCAAATGATGATATTTGAATGGAAAAACTATTGTCCCAAATGACACTTCCTACTGTGTAGAAAACAGGCACATCTGAAAACAGGCACATCTGAGTGCTCCAGTCTTTACTTAGCAAGTCTTTAACTCACTTCATCTGGTGTAACAACTTTTGTTGTTACACCAGGTGAATGATGTAATGATCTGTTTCTAGCCTGCCACAGTATAAATCATTATTAAAATAGTATTTATTTTTATATTTTATATATTATAATAATGGAAATCATTATTAAATCATCATCGGTGTTTCTGGGCTGTGAAATATTTAATAATATTTCATTTCAAAAGTAAACAATTTCTCTGTAGATGTTAATACCTTTTTTCTGCAGCATGGCTCTTCAAACTTATGTTAAGTAACATAAATGGCAGTATACAGGGAAAAATGTTTTTCTGCATTGACATTTTTTGCAACAAATCCTCTTCTCAGGAATTTCATTGTTCACAAGAGGGGGAAATTAATCTACAGAGAAGCTCAGCTAGTAGTAATAAGATGATTATTACACATTTTTATATCCCACTTGATAGCTGATATATCTTAATTCTTTCTTTAAAACTGTGAAAAAGAAAATCAAACCAAATAATCTGTCATTTGTGGGTTTGGTATCTTAAGCATAAAATGCGTTTAGGCACTTGGTGTCATAGCATAAAGTGCAGGGAAGATTTCATTCTTAAATACACGACTCCTTTGTGGCTCTTGCAGTGCTAACACCACTTCTTCAAATCTCTAATGTTTTGAGGCACGAAAAGCTGCCAATAGTCATTGTTGACATCTGTAACTAAGTTTAATAAGGGAGTACTAGTTAATATAGTGTGTAGCACTGCTGAATTAAATACAGGAACTTCCTAAGTAGCTCCTTCATTGTGTGATGTTTCTTAGTCACAGCCTGATTACTACTGTAGATTCCCAACATCATTTATTATTTGATTAATATGCAATTTATTTCTCAGATTAATCAGTAATATCAACACAATGCCCAGACTCTTGTATTCCCCTTCCTTCCTTTCCTCATCAATGCACAGCAACTCATTTCTTTCATTTTTGGCACATCATAATTTAATATTTACCCGTTGTAGCTTGGTACCAAAGGAACAATTATTTCCTAATCACTTGCCTTCAGGGGGTTCTCCGCTTGTGTCTGGAGAAAAAGGGCAGTTTGGGAGCATGCCTGTGTTTCCTTTGTGAGGACAGCCCTGTTGTTAGGGCAGGGCACTGTGTGCTGAATTCTAATGCCTCGGTGCCAGAGGCAGCCTGTGTGGAAGGGGCAGCGTGGGAGGTGCTGGCTGTGATAGCAGAGCCCCAGCCTGGGGCTCCCTGGGACTGAGGAGCTGTGCAAGTTGTCCGGCCCGTGCCGATGGGAACGCAGCCCTGCAGCGCCCTGGCCAGGCTGAAACCCTCATCCCCCCAGTACCCACCAGGCTGCTTGGCTTAGCAGCCAGGCACTTCAGGTACCTTTCCTTTAAATATTTATCATTTGCTGCCACAAAATATTGTCCGTTCAAAAGCAGGTCGTTGTGTATTGGCATAGATTTTTATGTGCGTTTGGTAGATTTTGTAAGATTGTTTAAAAATTACGAGTGTTTGTAATAGGTTTTATCGCGGGTTGGCAAAGGACTATGTAACAGAGGTAACTGTTTATGTATGGAATATTTATTTTCAAGGAAAATTGTAGAAATTTTTCAAAGGTAGCTTGTTATAGTAAGATATGTTCAAACCACAGAGAAGGTACCTTTAGTTCTGGTACTAAGGTTCTGATTTTAAATTAATACTGGATTAGTTATCTGTCTCTGTCAAGTCTATAATAAAGATCTTTTGTTGCAATCCATCATAGGGCTTTTGTATTATAAACTATACCTAGAAACTGTTAACAGGAAGACTAGATTAATGCAGAGAGAAAAAATGTCATCAGATAAAACATAGGTCTCAAAAAGCAATTTCAAGTTCCATACTATGTTATGCATTAATACATTTTTAGCCTTTGGGGAAAAGAGAAAAACTTGTAATCAAAAATTAATTTGAGCATTCTTGGCTGTACCTAAATTAGAACCCAGGATACTTCCAAAATTGTTATTAATCAAATGACCTGACAGGAGCTCACTAGGAGAAAATTAATGAGTGCAGACTATTCTGAATAATATTTAGCAATGCTGATCAGAAATTTTGCAGCTCTTTTTCTAATTTTACATATGACAATCTAAAATACTTCTATTTTGAGGTAGCCATATGTGTCTGTACATGTATGTTATGCAAATATATTGTACATCTGCTCTTTATTTTTAAATTAACTTCTTCAGAAAGCTTAATAGAAATACAAGTTCAAGAAGTCACTATTTTTTCTTGATTAATATCTTAACAATGAAGTGACATGTGGTTCCATATGACTTAAATATTTCTTCATTAATATATGGACACACTTGTTTAATTTCTTTTTTTTTTTAATTTTAATTTATTGTAAAATATCATTGCAATTTTTGCTGGTTGGGGTATAATGATTCTCATATTTTCTGGGAACAATTCACAAGATTGATTTTATAAGTCTTCACTGTAATTTAGTGCTATATAGAAGGAATGAAATTGATTATTATTATTTTGTGCCTTTAGGGTTTGGATTTGAAGAATACAATTCTATTCTATCTGGTTTCTGATTATTTACTGGTTTGTAACTTTAAAATACAACAGGTCATTAAAAGATTGGGTCATCATAACTGACAAAAGTTTTAGTTTCAAGATACTAAGAAGTAGAATTATAATGAAAACCAAGCCTAAACACCAATTAATTCACATCTAACATCTGGAAATTCTTAAGGGTGTATTTTAATTTTTAATAGACGTAAGAGAGTTTTTTAACCAGAAATTTTAGTCTTCATGTATTCTGTGTTTTATGTTATATGCATTTTGTAATTAAGCTGTTATACAAAAATGTGGATTATAATTTTCTTATTTCTATTTTTGCTTAACATACCTAATGTGAAGGAAATTTGTAAGTCTAAATGTTTCTTGCTGTAGACATGCTAAACAGTGTTACATCTAATTTTATTCATTGAATCTTGTTGGTAAACCAGAAGTGTAACTGGCTTAGTGCCTTATTGCCCCCAGCAGTCCTGCTGTTCCGAGTAGGTAGTGTTAAACCTGATTTGTTTTTAATGTTTTCTTTTATTTTTCCATTTTGATTTAAATAACTTATTTATTAAGATGAACAGAGATATTTTTACAGTTATTGCCAGACAACTGCAGTAATGATGTCTGGAATTTTTTTTTTTTTTTTTTTTTTTTTTTGCTTATGCTGTAGATTCTATAAAGTTGACATGAAGGACTCAAAAGACACCATAGTAAGATGGAAGCTGTTGGAAAGGTAGTGGAAAATAAAGGAAGTAGCATTTGATGCTTAATAAATTGACTAATCAGTAGGTACTTGTTTATATTCTGGAAAATCATAGTTGAAAACAAAGGAAAAAACTTCAGTTATGTGAAATCAAGCTGAGTTTACCCTTGTAAAAAGGATCTGTCTTGAAAAGCCACAGTTAGTGAGCTGTTTCAACTCCGAATTGTTTGTGAATTCCATTTCATGAATAGGAATCCTGCTTAAAAATAGGGATGAGATTTGCAAAATCCACATGCTGTTTATTTCACCCCATTGCGTTTTTGCACTTGTATTGGGAAAAAGAAGCCAATATTGACCTGAATATTCTCTCCTTGTATTTAGGATACCTTAAGCTTTTGCTCTGTACATGTAATCAGAGTGAAATTTTTCATGAGGAGGAGAGGAAAGGAGAGGGAGAGGAATGTATAAATGATTGTGACGACCTCTCCCACCTGCACACTGGGACAAAAGGGGCCAGAGGCAGCCTGAACAACACACAGTTGGCAGGAATTCCAGACGAGTGGGGACACTGAGGAAAGCCCGAAGAGTGGGTTGTTGGCAGTGGGGAAAAGTAAATGATTTTCCCCAGCAGAATGGGAAATGGTGTGCAAGCCCTGAGGGCTGCACTCACAGGGTGGGGAGTGGTTGCTGCCTGCTACGATGATGTGTTTTGTGACACAGCTCATTGACTTGACCCAGATTGCAGCTTCACTCGCTGAAAATATGCTGGTGTTCCCTCTCAACCTTGAGGTAGCCCCTGTAATTATGAACAGATATGTCAGCTTTCTCCTCTGAAATATCACTGGTGTTCCTGTTAATGAGGTTGTACTTGTTGCATTGCTACTGGGGAGTCGTATTTTGCACTGTTGCCCGCGCTGAGAACTCTGCTGACACTGCCATCACCAGAGCCATCTCAGTGACAGTGGCTATTTAAGATTTTCTTGAAAAGTTAATTTATCACAGATAAAGCTCTTAAAAGCCAGCATACAAATTATTAATCCCTCAATTTCTTTCCACTCATAGCTTGCCAAAATTACCTTCACTTTGACAATACTAATTCATGGTAGTCACAAGCTACACAGGGCTTAAAATACAGCTTTTTCTTTTCCAGAGTAAAAAATTATTGCCCTTTTTAATTTGTTTAGCTGAATAAATATTAAACTTTTAAATTTTGACAAGGAAGTAGATGTGGCTCTAGTCTGTGTCTGTGATCACATCCAAATTTATTTTCATTTTTTGTGTGCTTTAAAGATGAGTGTGCGGGTGTATACAGGCATAGGGAGAGACTGTAGTCTTGTGATACACAACTGAGAGAAAATTGGTTGGATGGTAGTAGCTGAAAAATAATTTTTTAACAATGTAATTAAGCCTTAGAGATTGACAAGAACTCAAGTCGTACCCATATATGTGACTGTGCTCTCTTTTCTGTTTATCTGATGTGACAGATGTGCTGAGTTGATTGCAGCTTGTTCTATAGGAGGAAAATACTAATTGCCCCAGACAATTAATACAATACAGAAGTCAGTCAATATTAAATACAGAATAAGAATTGCAAATTAATTTTAAATATATTTTATAGTTATATGAAGTAGATTGGTTTTCACAATCTGTTAATTACTGTCTTGCTAATCAAATTATTTCCTGTACAATGTCAGTGAGCTAAATCCTTCAGTGACCCATTGATATATTAATCTATTCCCGAATAATCTTATGATCAGTTCAGCAACAGAATATTTAGAGAGATTGTTGTTGTTATTACTTGGGGAACATTATTTTTCATATTTGTGACTACAAAGAAAATATGACATATTTTAGTGGTGACTCTGTGGTTTATTGAAAAAAGAAATTATCAACTTCCATTCTGTGCCCTTCATAGGCATTGCTCCTTAGGCTGACCCAACTCTTCTGACTAGAGACAGAACTCGAGGAAACAGCATGAAACAGGGGAGGTTTAGATTGGATGTCAGGAAAAACTTCTTCACCCAGAGCATGGCTGGGCACAGCAACAGGCTCCCCAAGGAAGTGGTCACAGCACCAAGCCTGACAGAATTCAAGCAGTGTTTGGACAATGCTCTTAGGCACAAGGTGTGATTCTTGGAGTGTCCTGTGCAGGGCCAGGAGTTGGACTTGATGTTCATGATGGATTTCTTCCAGCTCAGGATATTCTATGATTCTATAAATATGTCACAACTTTTTTGAATAGACAATCCAGTATAGGAGGTCTTAAGATGCAAATGATTCATTTTATGCTCATTCTTAAATAGCAGTGATGTCAACATCACATTCCAGTAATATATTCCACATTTATTTTCTTTCACATGCTTTTTAATTGCAATAAAGTCTTTTTGTAGTTAGTTGAAGTTAGAAAAAATGTTTGAAAGTGAGTTGCAGAAGACTGAGATTTGAGGGAAATGTTCCAAGGAGAAGATTTTCCATTCTGCAACGTGGCTCACAGAAAGGATTCCAAAACTGTAAAATTAACCAATTTCTGTTGAATTGTCAATTTAGGATGTCAGTTGTCATCTTGTCAGATCTGAGATGTATCCTTTAAGGGATGTTAATTCCTTTAGAATTTTAAAATTGTTACGTTGACTCAGCAGTAGGTGGCTGTGACCTACTTTGTTGAGGGACACCACACTGTAGGTGTCTGTTTCTTCTTAAATTTGTACCTGATCTCGATCTTGCAGTGAGAGCTGCAGAAAAACACGGAACACAAATTCTTTGCACATTTACCTTCCATAGTAGAGGAGTGCATTATAAGAATTTCATCTTTAGATTTTCTCCAACTGGTATG